CTTCCCTTCCCCACTGAAGAATTTCTTTTATGCTCTCCAGGAGCCTCAAATTGTTCAAGTTAATGTATTGTTATTTTGGAGGAAGGATTTGTGGTGTGGGGGAAAGGGGAACTTTCCCCAAAAAAATCTGGGGACATTTGTTAAGAGAAATGATGCGAAGGAACATGGAGTAACCTGCAAACTCACAGGGAAGAGCAAACACAGAGATCCCCAAAAAAGAGAGGGAGATGATAGGAATGAAGCTAAACCACTAAGCAAACACGGAGAGCTGGGAACACAGAATCGACAGAGAGACACCGCTCCCTAAGCCAGCGCAGATACCACACTCCCAGGCAAACCCACAATGCACTCGCCACGCATAGCTACAAACCCGCAAGCAAACAGAGAAACAAAGACAGCGACAGACGCGCCGGGATGCGAAGGCACAGAGGCGCGGGCAGGCAGCGGCGGGGAAGGCAGAGGCGCGACGTGCATGCACATGAACTCGGGGGAGACGCGCGGGCAGAGGCAGCATTACCCTGAGCTTAGCTCCTTGTCTCTCGCAATAGGTACAGCGCACCATACGGCTCTATTCCCTCTGGCATTGCAAGGGCTCCCCTGCCACTGAGCTCAGCCCATAAACCACTCCCAAACCCCAGCAGAGGCTTCTGTTTTTTGTTCGGGCCAATGAGAAAAGTATAGCTCACTCTTCCTTCCTCCCAGGAGCAGCGCCGGCTGGTTGAAATCCCTAAGCCTGAAACCGAATACCACAAACCCATGAGCCAACTGCAAGTGCCAAACCGGGGAAAAGGAGCAGGCCCTGCGCCCTGCCTCCGCCCGCTCGCTCCCTCCTCTCCCCCGGGCGGGAGAGGAGCTCCCAGGCGCCGGGCGAGGGAGGCTGCGGCGGCCCCCGGCGGCATCCCGGGGTCCCCTCCTCCCAGGCCTCGCCTCACGGCATCTGGAAGCGGGAGCGGGAGGGGAGACAGCAGGAAACAATAGCTACCTTTGGGCGACTCCGCACGCTAACGGCCTGACCCGCACCGAGCAACACTCCCACACTGGGGCCCTGCAACTGAAAGCCACAAATTACGCCGCAAGACAAAAGAA